AGTCCAAATTATTACCACAGGAGGAGCCGGCGTGAACACGACCCTACGCCTTATCAACGGCCTCTCCTCCTCCCCATCTGATGACGATTCCGCTCTAGGGCGCACAACCCCCGATGGCCCCTCGTCCCGAAGTAGGGTCTGTGCTGGAGAAGGAACCGCTGAAGATTCAACTGATGCCGCCCTCAGTATTGAGCGCGACACAGGCGCCGCAGTAAGATGAGCGACTGCACCAGGCCGACGAAAGGCCAACTGAGGGGCCCTGACGCGGCGCGCCCTCCCTGATCACAGGAAAACAAAGTTGATGAATAGAGTTGAAACAAAGCGGAACAGAAGAAGAAATCAATTTTTTACCTGCCACAGGCCTACGGCCATGCCTCTCCTAGAAAGACGCCCATGTGCGTATCCCCACCGTATGGGGGAGTACGGCCTCGACCCACTCACGTATCCAAGACAATGGGGCCGGTGGTGACCTGTCGGCTACAAAAACAACACGAGTTAACGCTTGTGATCACAAATCATAGAGAGGGGAAGAAAAGGGAACTCAACCACTAAAGAACTTACGCGCATGGTTCCAAGCCTCTGGGAACCCAGTAGCATCCGCCACCAGATGCTTGGTCCTGATGTAAAAGAAGTGCTCGAAAGGGCGAGGGTCGACCTCGCCATCCAATCTCATGACCAGGCCCCTCGACCCACGAGGGCCCGCCTGAATCATGGTGCCACGGACTCTCTGGGGAGCGTAGAGACTCAGCACATGCTGCAGCGTGACCTCCCTACGGGCCAATTCCGCGTACTTGATGAACATTGCCAACAGTTTGTAGAGGGAAAGAGTGAGCTGACCCGGGCACACCCCGTAATAACGGCAGAAATCCACCACCAGCATTGGGAGCGGGATCTTGAACCCCAACCTGAAAGGATAGGCGTAAAAAATGCAGTATCCCCTGCGGTCGGTGTGGACCCTCTCCTCGCTTCTAGCAAGAATGATGTCTGCATGGGTGGGAATGACCCCCTGTTCCCGTAATCGGGCCATCCCAATCTCCCCCATTAACGGGGCTTCATCCACCGGTTCCACTCCACCGTCACAGTGAAATCAATGACCGGACCTCCGGGCCGAGGAACTACCTCGTCAACCGACGGAACTTCTCTGGTCTCTATCTGTTCTGCACCTCCCATTGCCGGAGGTGGCCCTTCAACTACCGGAATGTCTATCGGAAGAGCATCGTGGGAAGAACTGCCTGTCATTGTTGATCTACTAAAGACAAAGGTTATCACAATCAAAGGAATGAAAGGAGAAGATGAATTTGCGGAATGAAAAAGTTTCCTCAGAATCTCTCTCAGATGAACAATGAAGATATGAGAAATGAATGCCTCAACCCACCTTTATAGGCAACATAAATGGCTTTCGCGAAACCCAATAGCCATCATTGACTGCACGACCAACCGTAAAACGGTTCGATTCTGCCGAAGCAAGCGTCATTATGACAAGCTCCGCAAAGCGACTTCTCAGCCATCCGCCAACGTACCGCCGTTAGAATAATCGCTACGGCCTGCGAACATTGAAAGAATATGCCGTACGCCTTCAAAATTCTGGACGTGACCAAATACGTACCCGGCGCATACTCATTCCCTACGGCCATCTCCAATATATGAAAGGCTACGGCCATCTCCAACGTGTAAACGGCTAAGGCCGCCGCCGAGCACGTATCAAGCGTGCCCTCATACTCCTGGGCCGCACAACATACGACCCGTCCGCCACGGCCGACGGGTATGCTTCCAAAACAAACGTAGGGATCAGAGCACAATGCAGCTCGACCTCACTCGAAGTAAGTTAAAAGGGTGCCTTCGCCCAGAAGGAGAGTTCGACCTCGATCGAACGATGACTTGATAGCCCAATAACAGGATACTAATGCTCTACAAGGCTAAGGGCCATCGCCAAAAAGAATTCGGCTTCGACCGAAGCAACAGTCGACATCTCCATCCGTGTTTCTCGAGATACAGCCAATGGAATCCGCTCATCGAGCTCGGCCAAGGCCCGACCTCAATAAGCGGAGGGACTAACTGTCTGGGTCAGAATTCGACCCCACGATAATTAACGAGGCTAATCCCATTTTAAGTTAATTCATGATTAATTAATGGCACGACCACTCAGAATTGACGATGTTCAACCCGCATCTGGTTCGATCGACAAGGCCATGGCCTATCCGCCACCATAAAGGCGAGATCCCAACGTGGTCACGGCCACTTATTGCCAGATCACGAAGCCCACAGCTATAAGTACCTAGAGAGGGAACCCTAGAAGGGGGGGGGGGGCTGCTTCTTGACCACTATTGACAAGAGAGAGAAGAGAAAAAATATACCCATCTTATGGGAAGAGAAAACACCATTGTAAGGCTCTGAACCTCTTCATGGAGAGGCAGACCAAACAAATGTTATCAATAAAAGTTTCTAATGTTTCTCCCCCTAATCCTGAGTACTTATTTTCGTTTCTTTCGTTTGGTCCAACGGATTATTACGATTTGCTATGATTTTTCCGTGACTCATTTGTATTGTTTTATACTCATAAGATATGTAATAACTTTTGAGCAAACAAAGATATATTTATTTTCTTCATATGTAACGTTTTTACTTTTTAATTAGGTTGTTTAAAAGTTTTTTTTCTTCGATAAGATTTTCTTCATTATTCAGTATCTTTTCATATCCGACCACTCTAAAAGGTGGAAAATTTTCGTTAAAATGAAAAAGTTCATATTCTTTTTATCGATTTACTTGCGGCTCCATATTGAACCAGAAAAAGAAAGGAATTTGATTCTTATTTTAAAATATTCCTATTTAGTCGAATTAAAACATTTAAATTAGAAAGAAATGAATAATTAGCTTTCGCATTAATGTCAAATTAAGACAAGTGAGGCTTGCTTTAATGTTCGAGCACCTCCATCACTAATCCATGGATTAAAGGTTTGGGTCATGTGAAGATAAATCGACAATGAAAACTTACATAAAATCAATGTTAATACTCCCTCCGGTCCAAAATAAGTGATTTTGGCCTTTTTCTTGTGGTCCAAAATAAGTGATTTTTCCAGATTTCAAGAATGAATTAATTATTTTTTACCTACATTGTCCTTGAAGTAAATGGTGTTGGAATATGTGTTAGGAGTGTTTATGTGAGATAGTAAAGATTAATATGGTCAATTCCATTGCTAATTAATGCTAAAAGGTGGATTTCTTAATTTGTGTGAAAACATTCAAAAAATTACTTATTTTGGACCGGAGGGAGTAGTCAATTAGCATATGAATTAATGAGTAATGACAAGTGTTATTTAACTATTAAGATGAATGACACCAAACTAACAAATACGTAATAAGCATTAATCAACGAATTTAAGTTATATTCATCGAAAATATAAAAAGTATTTATACAATTAACTATATTTAATAGCATTGCTTAAGATTTTTTAATAAATGATATGTAATTAGTCTTTGCAAATTAAATAGTGATGATATAAAAAATGTATAATATTATTTTTTAATCAATTTATTTGAAGTAAACTTATATACGATTAAATCTTTTCAATAAAAACACCATTCATCTTCCCAAAATGAGTTGGGGTTTAATTTACATTTAAATCATGATGAAATTTGTCAAAAAAGGGGGAAAAAAAACAAAAAGAAAATAGAGAGAATTAAACCTGAAAGTGGGCCCACAATCGAAGGATGGCCCACTTTGAAGCCAGCTGTACGTCTATCTATCTACCTTCCATTTGAGAGTCTCTTTCCTTTTTCATATATTCTTCTCTCTCTGTAACCTTTCCGTTTCCATTTGCAGAGACAGAAAGGAGAGAATTTCTCTTTCCTTTTTTATTTATAGCAAAAAAAAACTTTACAAATATAAATAAATCAAATAGCAATCCCAAAAGAGACATAACAGTTTTGTTTTCCGAAAGAGTTTTCTCTCTGTTTCTGTCTAAAGAAGTCATGTCGGTATGATTCTCAATTCCCTTTACATTTCTTTTATTATTTTTTTGTTTTAAATAAAAAATACCCTTTTTAAGATTTTGATTATGGGCTAGTTCTTTGTTCTTCTCTGAGCTCCTTTTGTTTAAAAAGGGGGAAAAAAGAAGAAAAAGGAGAAGAGTAGGCTTATGAATTATTTACTTTGTGTTAAAATTATTGTTTATAATTCTAAGATGTTTTATTTGGGTGATTTATGATATTTTAGGTCTTGGAATAATTTCTTTTTGAGGTTTTACTGTGTATTTTGTGTCTGGTTTTAATGTTGAGGAAAGAAACTGTATCTATTTTCATGGTGAATTTGTTTTTTTTTTTTTTTTGGTTTTTGTTCTTGCCCTTGAAACCCTTTTTCGTTTATATTTTAAAGATTGAATTCTTGTTTTTTTAGAAATTAAGTGGTTGAAACCAATAATAGAATAGAAGCTCTCAAGGTTAATGGTAATATCTTAGAATTTTTATTTTAACGGTAGTGTCCGGGCCAGCTTGCGCCACTTTGGCTATTTTACCGAGTTTCTGCTATCTCCCACCAGCACATATATCGAGTAACTCTGTCCATCAAGACTTGGACGATGGGAAGAACTCACTCGTTTCGAGGTAGCAGGTACTTGGTGGAATAGTCGATGTGCACGTAAGTTAGCCCGAACACCACCGTCATAAAAAGAAAAGATAATACAAAAAAAGAATTCCTTTTATTAGTACTATGTTTCTGTTTCAGTCTCCAATTCTCTGTGTTAAGTAACAGATAGTTTTTTTTTTCATAAAACAGTGTGCTACCTACCTTTTGCTTAATATTTTGAAAAAAAATTCACCACTAAATGGTGATATTTGCTTCTACAATTTACTTTTATGGTTTTGATGTAATCCTTTTCTTCTGAAATAATTACTTTAACAGGCTGAGCTGCCATCTGCTGGCATATTTGATTTTATTCATTTGTAGTAGTCAACACCTGAATACTAACAAAAATAATGCAATGTACCCGAATTTGTAATGCTACACCAAGTTGTGATTCAAACATCCTGTTCCGGTCATATGCTTTTCTGTTTTTTTTTTTTT